ATTGTGTATATATTTGATGTAAACATGACAGCAGTCTGTGCAGGATTTTAAAACTCAATTTTTAATTTATAATTCTCATAAATATAACCATCAAAATCTTATAAATAGCATTATAAAGTAGCCATTGAACATAATTTTCTCACAAGGTATGTGAAAAAAATATTTAGAAAATGATAACATGTATCAGTATTTGCATGTATTATAAACCCTTGATTGAACAGACTCAGTTTAAGGGATGTCTTAGTCACCTCCCATTTGGATTACTACAATGGGGATGCCCTTGAAAACCATCCAGAAGCTACAACTGATTAAGAATGCAGTGGCACCCATGGTTCACCCAAGCAACACCACTGCTGCATGGGCTGCACTGGCTTCTAGTTGCTTTCCCAATGCAGTTCAAGGTGCTGGTTATCACCTTTAAAGACTTACATGGTGTAGGGCTAGATTACTTGCAGGACTGCCCTTCCCTGAGGGTATCTGCCTAGATTAGATAGGGTGGGTGTGCTCCAGGTCCTCTCCTTTAAATGTTGCCATCTGATGGGAGGTGGGAACAGCCTCCCAGCAGAGATCAGAGGAATCCCTACCCTTTTTAGCCTTCCGGAGAGCTGTGAAGATCTGATTCTTCCCCCAAGCATTGGACTAGGTGGGGATTGAGCTGGGATGATGTTTGGTCTGACACCTGGGAGGAATGGTACTTTTGTTTTTAGCCATGTTTTTATGGATTGTTGTGAGCCATCTAGAGTCATTGTATGAGACACTTGCCATATAAGTCTTGTAAATTAAATTAAATTAAATTAAATGAATAAATGTCAAATTTGTCATGCAAAATCTGCTCAATCTGTGTTATGACCAGATGTCAAGCTATAATAACTTGGCCCCAACCAAGTCTGGACAATGTTTGCAGCTTCTCCCTCAAAATCAGTTTTCACTGTTATCAGTAAAGTAAGCTTTCTCATGTACAAGAATCTTTTAACAGATATTCGATTTTAAGGAATAATCTTTCCCCTTTACTGCACTAAATTGAGGATTTGCTATTCCTTTCAGACAGGTGCAATCATGGTCAAAGCATTCCATTTCTGTCATGATGATGATGTAGAGTAAGATATAAATTAGTAAAAAGAGTTGACAATGTCCATTCAGTATTTCTTTTCTTTATTTACTTGTTTGCTTACTTAGTTCTGAGACTCTGATTTTCTCAGTATAGTAATAAAATTAAGACATAAAACTGAATTAAGATTAAACACTCAAATGAAATCCTAGAATTTACCCCCTTCTTCCATCTTCTACTGCTACTATTTTCTGACCCAGTGAAGTCCCAAAATATTGAAACTACATTTTCCAGATCCTAGCTTTTCTTTTAATTAATTAATTAATTAATTAATTCACTGGTGTGAATCGGTTTAAAAGACAATATTTTATCTAAAAAGCAGAACAAAAATAACTGCATAGAAAATAGCTAAGATTTGTCCATGATATTTATACAAACCTAATCTTTCCAGCTTGATTTAGAGAGGTGGCACTTTCCCAGTCACGAAACAACTGTGATAAAGATTGTTGTTATTATTAGTAGAAGTATTTTCAGCCAGGGATATGCCAGAAAGAAGGAAAAAAATCTGGGCTTTCAATAGTTGGATAAACAGTGCATTTATTGAACAGAAATTTGACTAGAAAGATCTGATGGTAGAAAAAGATGTGAATAAAATTAGTTTTAATTAATTAGATATTTGTAGTCTTATTTGAATCATGAAACATTACAATTGAGTAGAGCTTTTTCTTCTAAATTAGCCCAAAGCAATTAGTTTTACACTGCTATCTGCTGTAAGCAATACTGGAAGTTCTGTTTAAGATGATCCATCCCATTTCCTTTTTGTTCACAGGGAATGGGTCTTGTTAATCACGTGTTCAGCGAAGATAGTCTGAAGAAGCTCTATGTCTCAAATCTTGGAATTGGCCATACAAGATACTCTACCTCTGGAGTCTCTGTCCTTGATAACTGTCAACCATTTGTTGTGGAAACTTTGCATGGGAAGATTGCAGTCGCCCACAATGGGGAGCTTACAAATGCTATGCGACTGAGGAGGAAGGTAGGAATCAGTCTTCCTAAAATGAGGAAGCAGAAGAGGACAGTAAATTCACCCATAATAGAGAGGGTATATAACCACCTGGTAATAATAAGATGCAGAGATAATTTTAAAGGTGCAATCAGAATTCATCAGATTGGATCAGGTGTAGCGATTGAGATCAGATGGAAGAAAGGGAACCTGGATCCTAAATTTAACCCTAATCCACAGCAGCAAGTCTGAGCCCTGTGAAGGTTTCCCTTTATCTTCTCAGTCACCTGAAGTTCACTTCTTCCTCCTGTCCCCCTCTCATTCAGAATGCAGTCACTCATGCATTCAACACTCGCACATCCTCCCTCAGACGACACTCCCATTTGGGTGCCTGAAAGGCATTCTCTTTAGGTATACCATGTCTAGCCAGGTGACAGTAAACAGCCCCATAAGTCTAAGGGCTATAGATATGGCCTGCCTATTCTCTGTCCCCTTGATCCATCACAAGCAGGAAGTTGGGTGAGAAGAGAAAGGTGGCCAGTCAGCTTCTTGTTCGACTCTAATTCATTCTCCACCACTACAACACAAACCTGTGTTTATTTCTTTGAGTGCAGTTTAGTTCACTTCAGATCTGTAGTTGTGAATGAAGCAAACTGTCAAAGAAATAAATCTGGAAATTTACTTTGTGTGGCTTCTGAATATGACTGAGAAGACGTACATTTAACATCCATTGGCAGAAATTAGAGAATTTGCATAACAATTTGGTGAACACTAATCAAACTATGGCTATTCTTCCTTAATTAATATATTATTGTTGTCAACTTGAATCAGTCCACGGTAGGGTGAAGATCTCTCCATTGGATTGTTCTGAGTTGGGTGGCCTATAAATGCCATTTATAAATAAATTGATAAGTTGAAGGTTATATACCATTATTTACTATGCTGGCGTGGGTTGGTAGGTAGATGTTTTTCAACTTCCCAGTCTAGGACTGAGAGAGACTGTCTGGCCCAAAATAACCAAGCTGGTTTCCATGCCCAAGGAGATACTAGAACTCAATTCTCTCTGCTCCTAGTTCAGCATCTTAACCACTGCACTACGCTCTCTAATTAAGATAGTAATTCATAATAAGAAATGATGGCCTTATAGTCTCATAAGGATTTTTCATAAACATTCTATGAAACAGAAATGTGGAATACAAAAGTTATATGCTAAAATAAGTACCTATCTAATCCTGTCTTGTATCTTTTTGATCCATGTTGCTTACTATTTCCCATTCTCTGAAAAACTGAAGACCGTGCATACTTCTTTCCTTTGCTAAAGTTGCCAAAAACTTCTTCCATATTTTTTCCTAATAATACAGGCTTTTCAGTCAATTTTTTTTAAGTTTTAAAAAAAAACCCTCTTAATTATAACTGGAAATGGCAACTATTTCTATGTCTAGCCACTACATCTTTGATCAAACCATATCTGTTATTGTTAATATTGAAACAAATGTTTCAGTGCCTGTTAGAATGGATAATATAACTTAACACAATACTGTACTGTAATACGTTGTCAATATGTTATATTGATAACAGTCAGCATAACCATAACATCAACTTTTGCATCACCCATGCTGAATAAGAGTTCACCATCTGCACATAGTGCTAAATTAATTACATTGTCATCTGGATTCACTTAGCTGTCCCCACTGGCATTCTGCTGAATTCTTTACATTCCTGAAGTATCATTATATACAAATGTGTTTCAGGATACACACATATACATACATTCAGATAATCTGTACTGTAATTACATGTAATAATCCTTTGTCTTTTGTTATGTAGCTAATGCGTCATGGAGTGGGATTATCTACCAGTTCTGATAGCGAACTGATTACTCAACTGCTGGCATTCACCCCTCCTCTAGAGCAAGATGATACACCAGACTGGGTAGCAAGGTAAAGCATCTGGCTTGTGAGAGAAGAATTAAAATCAATAACAGACCTCCATTTACGCAAGACCACCTCTGTACTTGTTGGAATCCTTGAAATAAGAACTGTATTAAATAAGCTTTCATATTTCAGGATTAAAAATTTGATGAATGAAACACCCACTTCATATTCACTTCTGATGATGCATAAAGATATTATCTATGCAGTTCGCGATCCCTATGGGAACCGTCCTCTTTGCATTGGCCGCCTTGTTCCAGTAGGTGATATCAGTGGAAAAGGTATAGTTTCCCTGTGCGTAATATGTTCCTACAAGGACTCTGCTTAGATCAGTGTTGTCCAAACTTGGCCCCTTTAAGATGAGTGGACTTTCAACTCCCACGAATTCCCCACGCCAGCCATGCTGGG